TCTGTTGTATTTTTTTTGTCTTCTGAAGATAATGTCCATGTCTGACACTGATAGCACAGCAATGGCAAGGATACTGTGTTGAACAGTGCTCTTTTAGTGTTCATATTCACATGCCTGCATTTCTAGCACTGTATTCCTAATTATCGTTTCATTCTCCTGGCCAGTAGTTTTTCAGATGAGAAGGTCACAGACATCTCTAAAAGCTGTGGTGTGATGCCTGTCTTCCACTGACCCATACAGCTTAGCTTCCATTTGAATGCCAACCGACCAAAACCTGGGATCTATCTATTGCGTGCAGAAAGCCTGTCTGTAGCCCAGGCTCAGTTTTTCTGTGGTGCTTGTCCACAAGGGTGACGTTCTACATCCCCAATCTTAAGTTTCTTGTACATGTAACGAGTGAAGAGTATGGTGTGTCCAGTAGACAATCTAAGTATAATGGTTTGTTTCTTGTACATGTAACGAGTGAAGAGTATGTTGTGCCCAGTAGACAATCCAAGTATAATGGTTTGTTTCTTGTACATGTAACGGCTGCAGAGTATGTTGTGTCCAGTAGACAATCTAAGTATAATGGTTTGTTTCTTGTACATGTAACAACAGCAGAGTATGTTGTGTCCAGTAGACAAGAGTATGTTGTGTCCAGTAGACAAGAGTATGTTGTGTCCAGTAGACAAGAGTATGTTGTGTCCAGTAGACAAGAGTATGTTGTGTCCAGTAGACAAGAGTATGTTGTGTCAAGTAGACAATCTAAGTATAATGGTTTGTTTCTTGTACATGTAACGACTGAAGAGTATGTTGTGTCCAGTAGACAAGAGTATGTTGTGTCCAGTAAACAAGAGTATGTTGTGTCCAGTAGACAATCTAAGTATAATGGTTTGTTACTTGTACATGTAACGAGTGAAGAGTATGTTGTGTCCAGTAGACAAGAGTATGTTGTGTCCAGTAGACAATCTAAGTATAATGGTTTGTTTCTTGTACATGTAACGAGTGAAGAGTATGTTGTGTCCAGTAGACAAGAGTATGTTGTGTCCAGTAAACAAGAGTATGTTGTGTCCAGTAGACAATCTAAGTATAATGGTTTGTTTCTTGTACATGTAACGACTGAAGAGTATGTTGTGTCCAGTAGACAAGAGTATGTTGTGTCCAGTAAACAAGAGTATGTTGTGTCCAGTAGACAATCTAAGTATAATGGTTTGTTTCTTGTACATGTAACGACTGAAGAGTATGTTGTGTCCAGTAGACAAGAGTATGTTGTGTCCAGTAGACAAGAGTATGTTGTGTCCAGTAGACAATCTAAGTATAATGGTTTGTTTCTTGTACATGTAACAACTGAAGAGTATGTTGTGTCCAGTAGACAAGAGTATGTTGTGTCCAGTAGACAAGAGTATGTTGTGTCCAGTAGACAATCTAAGTATAATGGTTTGTTTCTTGTACATGTAACAACAGCAGAGTATGTTGTGTCCAGTAGACAATCTAAGTATAATGGTTTGTTTCTTGTACATGTAACAACAGCAGAGTATGTTGTGTCCAGTAGACAATCTAAGTATAATGGTTTGTTTCTTGTACATGTAACAACAGCAGAGTATGTTGTGTCCAGTAGACAATCTAAGTATAATGGTTTGTTTCTTGTACATGTAACAACAGCAGAGTATGTTGTGTCCAGTAGACATCTAAGTATAATGGTTTGTTTCTTGTACATGTAACAACAGCAGAGTATGTTGTGTCCAGTAGACATCTAAGTATAATGGTTTGTTTCTTGTACATGTAACGAGTGAAGAGTGTGTTGTGTCCAGTAGACAAGAGTATGTTGTGTCCAGTAAACAAGAGTATGTTGTGTCCAGTAAACATCTAAGTATAATGGTTTGTTTCTTGTACATGTAACGACTGAAGAGTATGGTGTGTCCAGTAGACAATCTAAGTATAATGGTTTGTTTCTTGTACATGTAACAACTGAAGAGTATGTTGTGTCCAGTAAACAAGAGTATGTTGTGTCCAGTAAACATCTAAGTATAATGGTTTGTTTCTTGTACATGTAACGACTAAAGAGTATGGTGTGTCCAGTAGACAATCTAAGTATAATGGTTTGTTTCTTGTACATGTAACAACTGAAGAGTATGTTGTGTCCAGTAGACAAGAGTATGTTGTGTCCAGTAGACAAGAGTATGTTGTGTCCAGTAGACAATCTAAGTATAATGGTTTGTTACTTGTACATGTAACGAGTGAAGAGTATGTTGTGTCCAGTAAACAAGAGTATGTTGTGTCCAGTAGACAAGAGTATGTTGTGTCCAGTAGACATCTAAGTATAATGGTTTGTTTCTTGTACATGTAACGACTGAAGAGTATGTTGTGTCCAGTAAACAAGAGTATGTTGTGTCCAGTAAACAAGAGTATGTTGTGTCCAGTAAACAAGAGTATGTTGTGTCCAGTAAACATCTAAGTATAATGGTTTGTTTCTTGTACATGTAACGACTGAAGAGTATGGTGTGTCCAGTAAACTAGAGTATGTTGTGTCCAGTAGACAATCTAAGTATAATGGTTTGTTTTTTCTGTGTGAGAAGGTCGAATATCCCCAATGAGACAAAAAGTTGTTCACTTTTTACTTACATGTTTCTTAGCTCTAGTTTCCCTGGTAGATTCTGCAGAGTGGGCTCTCCTCGGCTCCGACAGAGTTCTTTGTCTTTCCAGAACAGCACTCAGTTCAGGTGAAGCAAAAGACAAATGCCGTAACTTAGGGTGTTTGACAATTGTGTACGTGGTGCTGCATATTCTTTTATGCACATCCTATTAACATAATACAACATATGAATTGTAATGAGAAGGGTGGTGGATATGCAAAGATGGAATTGTTCATATTGATAATGTCTTATTAAACAGGGATATTTTCATTTTTGTCATCTTTCTGTATTTCAAGACTATAGCTGACACTGTTGTAAATTAAACATTAAACTATAGCTGGAACTGTTGTAAATTAAACATAAAACTATAGCTGGCACTGTTGTAAATTAAACCTAAAAATATAGCTGGCACTGTTGTAAATTAAACATAAAACTATAGCTGGCACTGTTGTAAATTAAACCTAAAAATATAGCTGGCACTGTTGTAAATTAAACATAAAACTATAGCTACACTGTTGTAAATTAAACATAAAACTATAGCTGGCACTGATGTAAATTAAACATAAAACTATAGATGACACTGTTGTAAATTAAACATAAACCCAGGGTGAGTTGTCACCTTTACTGTAAACATAAAACTATAGTTGAATGAATGAATCAAGAACTGACATCACTGCATTAGGGATATTCCCACATGTGCTCTGTCCTCTTCTTCAGTAGCCAACAAAGAGTTGAGATGCTAACAGTAGCAGTGGGCAACCTACCTGCCTCTGTTTCCCCTTCAATGCTGAATATTTTTCAAAACCTCTACCCCCCCCCCCCCTCCGAATTAGTCTTTCAATGCATGGATTCTTTATCTGTTTTTTTGCACTGTCCATTTGATCTCCTAGAGCAATGGTTCTCAACCTCTGGGTTGCAACCCTTTCACAAGGGTCGCCTAAGACCATAAAAATTGAATACTAATTGAAGTTATGAAAAAGCAACACAAAGAATTGTATGGTTGGGGTGGCCACAACATGAGGAACTGTATTAAAAGGTCGCAGCATTAGGGAGGTTGAGAACCACTGCCACAGAGCCTTCAGCACAACCGCTTTATTATACAGTAGCTTACCCCTCAGAGAAAGGACAGCAGCTAATCTATCAGCTTGCTCATTATCTCACACACATGAATATCAATGATATGCTCTTGATCCAAAGTTTTATCATGGGATGCAGGCCACCTGTTTGAATTTTCCAAAGCATGCTCCGTGAGTCTCTTACAGTTACAACATGTCGGGCTGTGCTGTTCTCAACCAATGTCAAAAACCATAGCTGACGCTGATGTATGCATAAAATCATGGTAGACACTGTTGTAAAGTATACATCAAACTTTGGGTGACACTGCTGCTGTTTAAAGTAAATGTTAAACCATATGGTGCTGAAAAATCACAATAGGCAATGCTCCCAGTTTTACTTCTTTGTGCTCAGTTTCGTATGCTCAGGTCAGACCATCAGGTGCGGGGGCCACTCACATGTTAGCTGTAAGTCCTTCATGGTTCCCCATAGCTTGCTATGCACACTTTGCTCCTGAGGCCAGATTTCTTTTAGAAGTTGTAGGTAGAGTGGGCCTGTCTGCAGAATGTGCTCAGGTGTTTGTGGTCCTGTCTGAAAGGCACACTATATACTCCCAGCTCAACAAGGTACAGATGTTGTGTCTGTTCTGCTGTTCTATGCACCTGATTCGTGTTTTCTTTGTTTTAGAACAAAGTTTTGTTATGATACATAACTGGGAGCCGCTATAGTGTAATAGCTAAACGATAGCCTCCTCATACAAAGTTCTCGAGTTCAAATCCGTATCAAATCGGATGTTTTTTCTTTTCAAAATGGACCTTGGCTCACAAGTTGACCAATCCCAAAATGGGTACCAGGTAATGTCCTGCCAGTTAAAGACTAGTGGTGTGATGTTTACCAAGCCACACACCAAGTGCGATTAGTTTATAAAAATAGGATTATAGCATAACATGCCTGATGGGCCACTGGCGCAAATAAGGCATCCTTAAATAATATAACTTGCCATTCACAACATGATTTTTCTGGCTAGTGTTTACTTCTGACCATCACACACGTGTCAGAGATTCAACTAGCCAGGCAGATATGTGATTCCTCACGGAGATATTTTAGCTAAGTGATTTATTGGTATTTTTGTTCATGTTTGTTGCAGTGACGTTCACCTGTTGTTTGTGCTTGTGATAAAGTGAAGCTTATACTTTCCTTTATGTGTTTAGATATCTATATTTAATATAACTGAATCACTAACCTCCTTAATGTCAGTCTCATTCTTAGATAACATATTCTCCTCTTGACATCTGAATTCTGCCACTTTCTTTTTGTCATCTGCCTCCAGATTACGTTTTTTAATTATTCCCTCTGTAATTCTTGCGGGGTGACTTTCTCTACAAATGTCATCTGATACTTCTCTTTTAGTGAATTCTGGTTGTGTTTTACAGTTTTTCCATAAGTACTCCTTTTGATTAAAGTAAACATTAAGCTTTAGTTTACATTACTGTAAATTAAACATTAAACCACAGCTAAAATGTGCAAATTAAGCATAAAACCACAGCTAAAACTTGTAAATTAAACATAAAACCACAGCTAAAACTTGTAAATTAAACATTAAACCACAGCTAAAACTTGGGCTATCTTCCGAATAATGGTCCCAAATTATTCAGGCAGACAATATACCCTAACAGGGCCTCAGTCACGTGTCAATTGTGCATTTCCGGCGACTGAAATTGCTCACTTCCGCAACCGCCAAGAGTTTTCTGCAGATTCCTTGATTTTATTTGTTCAGGAGTCCCAACCATCTAGTTTAGCCATATAAAATATGACTTAAAAGAAGAGGCAAGAAAGAAAATCCAAGAAATATTAACGAGTACTTGGAGAAAAACACCCAAATAAATAAAACTAAAAAATATCACGTCCTTGGCTTTTTGGTTTTTATATTGTTAAAAAAAAAAATATTTTACTGATAATAAAAGTAAAAAAATGTTACAACAGATTATTACAAACTGGATTTCCCTGCGCCCCAGGTTGAAAACCACTTCTCTAAAGTTACCTGTGATTATGGTCCTGCCTAATGACTAACCACAAAAAAAAAAAACGTTTAGACAAACTTACTTGAAGTGCCGGAAGTACAAGAATTGCATCTGCTGCCAGTCGCCTCTCAGGATCAGAAGTCAACAGGGAACTTACGAGAAAGCAGAGAAGTTCACCACAATGGCTGTAGAAATAATTTGTATGCATCATTTGTTACTTCCACTACAAATGCAATTAATGTTACATAAACTCAACTGTCTTCTGTGGGTTCCAGGGCAAAAAATAATACACCCACTGCCTCCTAAACAAGAGCATCATACAAGGCAACTAATTAGGGGAGTTTTCTTCAAAGTCAGAGTGCATCTGCAAAACAGGCGAGGAATCAACAGTCTGCATAAAAATAAGCCAGATCTGTGAAACTGATGTGCGTGCAAAACTCAACCTCTGGAACAAGACCAAAGTAAACACATGGACGAACAGCCATAGCTTTTCCCATGAGTTTAAAGCCGGTAAAAGAAGACATAAACTCAGCCTTACTTTATGTTGACCTTGATATAAATAGAGAGTCAAGCTGAGGCCTCAGAAGTGTAGATTTACAGCAGGAACCATCAAGTTTGTGTGAGAGCTGGGTTTCTCCTAACATGATTCAAATGGAAGGGGTTAGACCACAGTCTATTCTTCTTACCCCACACAATGGGGCTCTAGAACCCACACAGGGTCACCAGAGTTCACATTTGGTGAATGCTAAAGAAAGAAATGAAGAAATGAGATATGTGAACTAATGGTTTTATAGTGATATGCAGACAACCCTTGATACAAATGAGATCTATATACTAGTGGCTATAAAGCAATATGGAGACAACCTTTGAATCCACTGAGATCTGTGTACAAATGGCTATAAAGCAATATGAAGACAACCTTTGAATCCGATGAGATCTGCCTACCAACAGCAATATAAAAATATGGAGACAACCTTTAAATCCAATGTGATCTGCATACTAATGGTTATATAACAATATGGAGACAACCTTTAAATCCAATGAGATCTGCAGCTAAGTACTAATGGCTATATATGGAGATAACTTTGGAATCCAATGAGATCTGGATTTACAATATGGAGACAACCTTTGAATCCAATGAGATCTGCGTTTATTGAAGCTAATGGCTATATAACAATATGGAGACAACCTTTGAATCCAATGTGATCTGCGTACTAATGGCTATATAACAATTGATGGAGACAAACCTTTGAATCCAATGAGATGACAAAGCACTAATGAGCTATATCCTATGGAATCCAATGAGATCTGCGTACTAATGGCTATATAACAATATGGAGACAACCTTTTGAAATCCAATGAGATCTGCGTACTAATGGCTATATAGACAATATGGAGAATCAGTTCTTACACAACGTTTTCTTAAAAAGATAAATATATTTGGGGGAATATCCGTAAGATGTTAAGGCAATGAGATCTGCGTACTAATGGTAAAGATGGGGTCTATATAACAACCTAGAAGCATATATGATCGAGCGAACAATAACCTTTTGAATCCAATGAGATCTGCTGTTTTAATACTAATGGCTATATAAACAATATGGAGACAACCTTTGAATCCAATGAGATCTGCCTACCAACGGCTATATAACAATATGGAGACAACCTTTGAATCCAATGAGATCTGCGTACTAATGGCTATATAACAATATGGAGACAACCTTTGAATCCAATGAGATCTGCATACTAATGGCTATATAACAATATGGAGACAACCTTTGAATCCAATGAGATCTGCATACTAATGGCTATATAACAATATGGAGACAACCTTTGAATCCAATGAGATCTGCCTACTAATGGCTATATAACAATATGGAGACAATCCAACCTTAATGGCTATATAACAATATGGAGACAACCTTTGAATCCAATGAGATCTGCTTACTAATGGCTATATAACAATATGGAGACAACCTTTAAATCCAATGAGATCTGCGTACTAATGGCTATATAACAATATGGAGACAACCTTTGAATCCAATGAGATCTGATACCAACAGCTATATAACAATATGGAGACAACCTTTGAATCCAATGAGATCTGATACCAACAGATATATAACAATATGGAGACAACCTTTGAATCCAATGAGATCTGATACCAACAGCTATATAACAATATGGAGACAACCTTTTAATCCAATGAGATCAAACTAATGTAGCCAGTTAATGAAGGAATAAACAAACGAACGAACACATTTTAGTTTCAAGAGGGCATGCAGGCCCATCTTACATTTCACCCTCCTATCCACTTATCTTCCAAACATCTTTTTTTCTGGCGGCACACAGTACCAGCACTTTTTTACTGGCATCATATTTTCCAGGATACTCTAACAGACACTCTGTTGTGAGTAGGAAAGATATAAAACAGAATGAAAAGTAGATTAGCGAGCTTCACAACATAACAAACACAAAAGAAAAGTTACTGTTGTAGAGACAGAGCCTTCATCAGCACATACATAAATCAAACAAAACCACACAAATAAACAAAACACTTCACTGGCGTACCTTGAAGCAGCCATGTTGATGCCTAGCCAGTGGAAAAAAGAGAGTCGTGTTGTTGTGAGTAGTTTTAGACACCTTTTTGGTGAGTGCCCACACCTTTTTCCCAGGGGTAAAACCCCTTCACACAGCAATTATATTTCACCTATCTTGCACATTAAGTTCCTGCGGCAATAAAAACACAATGAATATAAAACACACACAAAACAGTGAGAGATAATGAGAGATAAAAACAAAAACAGAATAAATCTCTTACCCTGGTAAGGGACTGTACAGCCCCGACTCGATCTGTGCGACAAGACTAGGCAGATTGACTGCGGTGAATGGGACCCGTAGACAGCACATCTCATAGAGGACACAACCGGCTGACCACATATCACTTTTGTAGCTGTAGCTGGTTTTTCTATGTTAAAGATTTCTTTAGTTGTATGACGTACAAACGATATTAATCATTTGGCTATATGTGGTTGTATGATGTATGAATGACAATGATCATGTGGTTATATGATTCATAAATGACTATAATCACGTGGTTATATGATGCATTCTGTAGCTAAGTCGATGCGAACGCTTCGTAATGCGGGGTTCGATCCCAACTTGCATTGGTTTCGACAGTGGTATCAAGAAAGCCGACCGTCCAGAAAGCAATGACAAACTACTGGACCTAAATTTGCCTAGAAAACCCACACAACAGCCCAGCCAGGGGCTGTAGGTGTTGGTTCTGCAATGTCCTGTAAAGGATACGCAACTAACCTATATGATGCATAAATGACTTTAATCACGTGGTTATATGAACAATAATGTGTGGCTGCATGCTGTAAGAATGAAAATAATCCTGTGGCTGTATGATGTAATGAATGACAATAATCTTGTGGCTGTGTGATGTATGAATGACAATAACTCTGTGGCTCTATAATGTATGAATGACAATAATCTTGGTGCTGTGTGATGTATGAATGATGAAAATCATGTGGCTGTATGCTGTATCAATAAAAAAAATGGTATGGCTGCATAACATACATGAATAACAATAATCTTGTGGCTGTGTGATGTATGAATGACAGTAAGTATGTGGCTGTATGATGTATGAATGTCATCGTTCTTTTGGCTGTATGAATGACAATAATTCTGAGGCTGTAGGATGTATGAATGAAAATAATTATGTGGCTGTACTACGAATAAATACAAACAATTATGTGGCTGTATGAAAAATGAATGACAACAATTCTGTGGCTGTAGAATATATGATGACAACATGACTGTGGTTGTACGATGTATGAATGACAATAATCCAGTGGTCATATAATGTATGAATGACAATAATTGTGGCTGTATGATGACAACATGCCTGTGGCTGTATGTGTGAATCACAATAATTATGTGGTTGTATGACATTTGAATTACAATAATCATGTGGCTGCATGATGTATAAATGACTATATGTTTGTGGCTGTATGAGGGAATGACAATAATCATGTGGCTTTATGATGTATGAAAGACAATATGTCTGTGGCTGTATGATGAAATGACAATAATCTTGTGGCTGTGTGATGTATCAATGACAATATGTATGTGGCTGTATAATGGAATGACAGTAATCATGTGGCTATATGATGTATGAATGACAATATGTTTGTGGCTGTATGAGGGAGTGACAATAATAATGTGGCTGTATGAAGCAGTTTCAATTCAAATGGCACCAGTTACAGTCTGATTGTTAGTTAGTCAGTTAGTTAGTTGGGTTATCATCATTGCACTCCAGACATGTTTATAGGTGATCAGATCCCCCCCCTCAGTATAAACCCCAACGTCCGATGGCTAATAGTACCAGTTCTATGTTGTTTAACAAGTCTTCTGGTGTGTCTGGTGTGAGTCTCGCTTTTTTGCTATGCCGATCTTAATTCCAAAGTCTGACATTCTGGCGAGTGATGTGGATTCACTGCCCCCAAAGTCATCTATCCTTCCCATTTCTCTAAGGGCTATAATAATATCAGCATGATCAATAGGCTGACCGTCGATAGTGATAGCGGATCCAGCCAACCTAGCAGCTCTTTCATTTTCATCGACGCCTGCATGTCACGGAACAAAAATAAAGATGACTCCACGCACAGTGGTCTTCTGTAATGATTCAAGCCCTTGTCTTCGCACCGAACCTGCCTGAACCCTCAGGATCATACTCATTGAATCACTGAGTATCATTACGCAGGTGTAGTTTTGTGTTTCAAGCCAGGCGACCGCTTGCGTCACTGCCATTACCTCCATCGTCATGCTGCTGGTTGTCATGGAGAAGCCGCTGTTGGCTTCTTTGACTATTCTGCCCGCTGAGTGTGCTGTAAATGCCCATGCGATTCTTTTTTGGCGTATAACGGTTGTAATCCATCTAGCCTTGCTCTAGAGTGCTGAGCATTAGCCAGATCCTCTGGTCACTCCTCGCAACATCTTTCTGCTCAGACTGTGATGATGACAATAATCCTGTAGCTGTAACATTTACGAATGATTATTTTATGATCATGTAACTGTACTGTGTATTACAATAATCGTGTAGCTGTAACATTTACGAATGATTATTTTATGATTATGTGACTGTACTGTGTATTACAATAATCCTGTAGTTGTAACATTTACGAATGATTATTTTATGATCATGTGACTGTACTGTGTATTACAATAATCGTATAGTTGTAACATTTACGAATCATTATTTTATGATCATGTGACTGTATTGTGTATTGCAATAATCGTGTAGTTGTAACATTTACGAATCATTATTTTATGATCATGTGACTGTATTGTGTATTGCAATAATCGTGTAGTTGTAACATTTACGAATCATTATTTTATGATCATGTGACTGTATTGTGTATTGCAATAATCGTGTAGTTGTAACATTTACGAATCATTATTTTATGATCATGTGACTGTATTGTGTATTGCAATAATCGTGTAGTTGTATAATGTATGAATGGCAATGATTATGTGGCTGCTGAGGTATGAATCACAATAATCAGTCGTGTGTAATATGCGGACTTTCCGCCAAGGAACAAATCATGACAAAACTAGGATCGGTTCCGAATAACGAAACAAATGCTCTAACAGAGTCAGCGATATGTTAATTGTGGACCTGTTTCTGCGATTATGCCACACCGCCGACAGTATCCGCCCTTACACGCGGTGTGGATGGGGGAGAGGCTAAACTAGATGGCTGGGACTCACGAGCAGCAGCTACCACATCTACCGTCAACTTCCTCTAATTTGTTTGCTTGTGAGTCCCAAGCATCTAGTTTAGATCCCCATCCGCGCCGCATGTAGCGTTGCGGGGGATACTGTCGACGGCCAGGTTAACCGCGTTTTGCGCATGCCGAAAAGTGTGAGGACAACAACAACGCTAATCTGTGTCAGGGCCCGTGGTCTGCCCGCCATGTAGCTATTATCGTCTGTAATGTTGCGCATCTCGAAATTGTCAATGGTCACTATTATCGTCTGCTAGTATCGTCTGGAGAAATGCTTGAAATTGCCAACAGTTGCTATTATCGTCTGGTACTATCTATTGCAGTGTTGCATCTCTTGAAATTGCCAAGTAATCCTAGTTTAGCCGCGACTTGTTCTTTGGCAGAAAGTCCGCATTTTACACACGATTGAGGAGGAGAGCCGAATAAAATAATCAAGTAGTTATATGATGTATGAATCCTAATAATCAAGTTGTTATATGATGTACAAATTTCAAAAGTCTCCAAATGGTTATGTGACACAAAAATCACTATATGATCATTTGGTTATATAATTATGAGGGTCAATGATCAAGTGATATGATGTATGAAACAGAATATGTAATTGTATGTTATTAGTTAGTTAGTTAGTTAGTTGGGTTATCCTCATTGCACTCCGGACATGTCCATAGGTGCTCAGATCCTCCCCTCAGTATGAACCCCAACGTCCGATGGCTAATAGTACCAGTTCTATGTTGATTAACAAGTCTTCTGGCGTAGCTGGTGTGCGTCTCGTTTTTTGCTGTGCCGATCTTAATTCCCAAGTCTGCCATTCTGGCGAGTGATGTGGATTCACTGCCACCAAAGTCGTCTATCCTTCCCATTTCTCTGAGGGCATTGATAATATCAGCATGATCCATAGGCTGACCGTCGGTAGTGATAGCGGATCCAGCCAACCTGTCAGCTCTTTCATTTCCATTGTATGTTATATTATGATCATGCGATTAAAAAATACAATAATCTTTATTATCATGTAGTTATATGATTATATAATGAGAATTGTCAAATGTTATGTATTCTCAACCTTACTGTATGGCACAGAGACATGGACAATGAACAAACAACTGGAAAATTGTATCAATTCTTTGGAGATGTGGATATACAGAAGATTAGTCGTATTTCATGGAAACAAAAGCTATCAAATACAGAGGTACTGGGGAAATTGGGAACGAAAAGAGAGTTGCTAGGTGAAATAAAAAAAGAGACAAGTGAAATATTTTGGTCACATTAAAAGACAAAACAGTATTGTAAAGATCATCCTAGAGGGAAAGGTTCAAGGTAGGCGAGCAAGAGGCAGACAGCATTACAAGTAGAAGGATAACATCAAGAGATGGACGAACAGCAGTATGAGTGAGTGTACATCAAGGGCAAGAGACAGGGCTTGGAGATCCATTGCAGCCAACCTTCATTGTGGAGACGGCACCTGATTGATTGATATGATTATACGAAGGTAAGTCAATAAGTAAGTCACAAATGATTATGGGATGGCAGGAAAATGTAGCTGGTGGTTTCTAAAGGTGTCATTAGGTGACAGCAACATCCAACTTTATGTCTTCGCTCGTTAGGTGGTGCCAGATGTTGGATGCTCATTTGCAACACAGAAACAAAATGGCAACTGTACTTACGGAGTGTACCCACAAATAATAATGTTCCGTTGTGCGTATTTTTTAGGGGAGGTGTGAGGGGGGCAAAAGGGCTGCATGCTAAGGACATTCATAAGCAAATGCTTCCTGTTTATGCATAACCGACACTTCCAGATGGGGCTAATCCCCCCAGTAAATATCACCTTTCTGACCTTTCTATAGTGATCTACTTAGAAAAGGTATTTTTAATGCTGCTGGCTGTGTTCAAACCTAAGGAAACTTTTATAAGCCCAGGATGTGAATATATTAACCAAAACTAGCATTTAGGGGCAGTTTTCTTCAAATAAGTGGAGTTTTTAAAAAGTTAAGATGTTGTTAGATTTTCCAATGAGCCGCAGTGATGAAGGGGTCACTGCAAGGGGTCAGTCACCTGATGCATACTTTTTTTAGGCCCCTGGGAATGCATTCCATTTAATATGTCACTCTGTTCATGTTTACTGATTACTTCTTTTGATTTCTCTTTATATATTTCAAGTCGGCTCTGTGGCTAAGTCGATGCGAACGATTTGTAATGCCGGGTTTGATCCCAGCTGAGGGTCATGCGCCTTGCGTTGGTTTCGACAGTGGTATCAAGAAAGCCAACCGTCCAGAAAGCAATGGCAAACTACTGGATGTAAATTTGCCTAGAAAAACCACACAACAGCCAGGAGCTGTTGGGGTTGGTTCTGCAACGTCCTGTAAAGGATATGTAACTAACCTTAAATTTTTTTTTTAAATGAACATAAATACATGCTTAGAATATTTATTGGTAAACTGTGTGAAACTGTTGTTCATAGAAGATTTTTTTCAGAATTTCCATAGGTCATAATTAATTTTTTTTAAAGCATTACCGAGGTGAAAGAATTAAAAAACACTTATAAGATAACCAGTGAAGGGTTCGTTGAAATTAGTGTTGGGTAAAAGATGCAGATACTGCAACCTAGCTGTAAACTACAACATACCAACCACCTTTTTGAGGATGAACGCAGCATCCTAAAAGAGCTGGAAGAGTTCAAAGGATACGGCTGCTGTCTGCATATCTCTGGACTGAGATAGAATGGAGTTCCAATAAAAGTGACTGCAACATCTGTATCGCTGTGTAAAATTCTTGAAATTCCAAAATCCCCAAGTTTAAGGACATTTCTGTCGTTCAGAAACAGATTCTGTGGCTTGATGTCTATGGGTAAATATACACAGAGCAAATAGTTTTAAAAATCAATCATGCCATGCATGGGTGTCTTAAAGTAAAACATCCATAACTCTATAGCTTGAAATGAAACAATAACATTAAATTATAATGTAACTAAAGCCTAAAATAACTGAAATCTAACATCAAAGAAGAACAACTGCAGGGATTAGAGACATACACTAAAATAATTATTAATAAACTTTGTGCTTCGTCCACTTCTGGACTTTGGGCTTGTCCCAGAACTTACATGCATAGCCATTTTACAGATCTGGTGTATTTGTATGCACACTGTTGGTTTCTCACCTCTCAGGTATACACAATCTGACTTTGCCTTAAACATCCTTAATTAGTTGACTTTTATGAGATGGGGGAACCAGTCACCTCAGCTCATTTATTGTGGCCTAGAATATGTAACCTTCAAAACAGCTTGATGACTGACTTTGTGGACGATATTTTCTTCTATCCCACTTGTGGAATCCGATGCAAGATAAATTAAATATAGTTGATGCGAGAGGCACAAAACAAATATTTTAAACCACGACACTGGGCTGCAACCCGGTAAAAGTGAAGAAGACAATAGATAGATAGATGTGAGATCACAACAACTAGGTCCAAAAATCCATATGGAAATAACAAAGATAATGAGAATAAACCAGGCAAATGGTAATGTGGTTTCTTAATGGTATCTCACTCCAAGATGTAGAGTCATACACCTATTTGGGCATTATTGTAGATGTAAATGGAGGAACTTACAAAGATAATAAAATACAAACACAATAGGAAAAGGTGCTTTCACAGCACTAGGAAATTTGTGGAGGTCAAAAGAAATTAAAGCTAGCAATAAAGTTAAAATTTTCAATTATAATGTCAAATTAGTACTGTTGTATGTAGCGGAAACACTAAGAACACCTAAAACAATAACCAAGGAACTACAGACAGCCATTAACTGGTGCCTGTGCAGAATAGAGGGAATTAAAACAGTAAGATGGAATTACTAATGCTGAGCTTTGGAACAGAACTAAAAAAAAAAGTTCCAGTGGACCAAGAGGTGGAAACAAAAGAGACACTGGCGTTGGAAAGGACACACACTGAGAAAACCTGAGAACAATATATAACTAGAATGTGTTTGTTTGCACTGGACACCACAGGGGCATAGAAATAAAGGCAGACCAACAACAACAACAAAATTTCAAGTAGAGAGCTAGAAAGTGAAGTTTAAAAAGAGGGAAGCACATAGCGTAAGTTGCATGCAATAGCAAAAGATAGAACGACACGGCATGACTCGGTTGAGGGCCTATGTTCCTCCATTGGGGGATAGAAGGCAGAAGAAGAAGAAAAAGATTATGTAAAGGTGTAATATTTCACACCTCATTGGCAATAATTACTATAGGACCAAATACACCTTTTACTGCAGTATACTATCTCAACCTATTACTGCAGTATGCTAACTCAACCTGTTACAGCAGTATGCTATCTCAACCTATTACTGCAGTATGTAATCTTAGCCTATTACTGCAATATGCTATCTCAACCTATTACTGCAGTATGCTAACTCAACCTTTTACTGCAGTATGCTATCTCAACCTATTACTGAAATATGCAATCTCAACCTATTATTGCAGTATGCTATCAACCTATTACTGCAGTATGCTTTCTCAACCTGTTACTTCAGTATGCTATCTCAACCTATTACTGAAATATGCAATCTCAACCTATTATTGCAGTACGCTATCTCAACCTATTATTGCAGTACACTATCTCAACCTGTTGCTGCAGTATGCTAACTCAACCTGTTACTGCAGTATGTTAACTCAACCTATCACTACAGTATGCCATCTCAGCCTATTACTGCAATATGCTATCTCAACATATAACTGCAGTATGCTATCTCAACCTGTTATTGCAGTATGCTATCTAGACCTGTTACTGCAGTATGCTATCTCAACTTATCACTGCAGTATGCTGTCTCAACCTGTTACTGCAGTATGCTATATCAACCTGTTACGGTGGTATGCTGTTTTAACCTGTTACTGCACAATGTTATCTCAACCTGTTATTGGATAATGCTAACTTATAGTGTTACTACAGTATGCTATCTCAATATGTTACTGCAGTATGCTAACTCAACCTATCACTACAATATGCCATCTCAGCATATTACTGCAGTATGCTAACTCAACCTGTTACAGCAGTATGCTATCTCAACCTATTACTGCAGTATGCTATCTCAGCCTATTACTGCAATATGCTATCTCAACCTATTACTGCAGTATGCTAACTCAACCTTTTACTGCAGTATGCTATCTCAACCTATTACTGCAGTATGCTATCAACCTATTACTGCAGTATGCTTTCTCAACCTGCTACTTCAGTATGCTATCTCAACCTATTACTGAAATATGCAATCTCAACCTATTATTGCAGTACGCTATCTCAACCTATTATTGCAGTACGCTATCTCAACCTGTTGCTGCAGTATGCTAACTCAACCTGTTACTGCAGTATGTTAACTCAACCTATCACTACAATATGCCATCTCAGCCTATTACTGCAATATGCTATCTCAACATATTACTGCAGTATGCTATCTCAACCTGTTATTGCAGTATGCTATCTAGACATGTTACTGCAGTATGCTATCTCAACCTATCACTGCAGTATGCTATCTCAACCTGTTACTGCAGTATGCTATATCAACCTGTTACTGCGGTATTTCTCAACCTGTTATTGCAGTATGCTAACTCAACTTATCACTGCAGTATGCTGTCTCAACCTGTTACTGCAGTATGCTGTCTCAACCTGTTACTGCAGTATGCTATATCAACCTGTTACGGTGGTATGCTGTTTTAACCTGTTACTGCACAATGTTATCTCAACCTGTTATTGGAGAATGCTAACTTATAGTGTTACTACAGTATGCTATCTCAACCTGTTACTGCAGTATTCTAACTCAACTTGTTACTGCAGTATGCTATCTCAATATGTTACTGCAGTATGCTAACTCAACCTATCACTACAATATGCCATCTCAGCATATTACTGCAGTATGCTATCTCAACCTGTTATTGCAGTATGCTATCTAGACCTGATACTGCAGTATGCTATCTCAACCAATCACTGCAGTATGCTATCTCAACCTGTTACTGCAGTATGCTATATCAATCTGTTACTGCGGTATATCTCAACCTGTTATTGCAGTATGCTAACTCAACTTATCACTGCAGTATGCTGTCTCAACCTGTTACTGCAGTATGCTATATCAACCTGTTACGGTGGTATGCTGTTTTAATCTGTTACTGCACAATGTTATCTCAACCTGTTATTGGAGAATGCTAACTTATAGTGTTACTACAGTATGCTATCTCAACCTGTTACTGCAGTATGCTAACTCAACTTGTTACTGCAGTATGCTATCTCAATATGTTACTGCAGTATGCTAACTCAACCTATCACTACAATATGCCATCTCAGCATATTACTGCAGTATGCTAACTCAACCTGTTACAGCAGTATGCCATCTCAACCTATTACTGCAGTATGCTAACTCAACCTTTTACTGCAGTATGCTATCTCAACCTATTACTGCAGTATGCTATCAACCTATTACTGCAGTATGCTTTCTCAACCTGTTACTTCAGTATGCTATCTCAACCTATTACTGAAATATGCAATCTCAACCTATTATTGCAGTACGCTATCTCAACCTATTATTGCAGTACGCTATCTTAACCTGTTGCTGCAGTATGCTAACTCAACCTGTTACTGCAGTATGTTAACTCAACCTATCACTACAATATGCCATCTCAGCCTATTACTGCAATATGCTATCTCAACATATTACTGCAGTATGCTATCTCAACCTGTTATTGGAGAATGCCAACTCATAGTGTTACTACAGTATGCTGTCTCAACCTGTTACTGCAGTATGCTAACTCAACTTGTTACTGCAGTATGCTATCTCAATATGTTACTGCAGTATGCTATCTCAACCTGTTTTTGCAGTATGCTAACTCAATGTGTTACTGCAGTATGTTAAATCAGCCTGTTACTGCGGTATGTTAACTAAACCTGTTACTGCAGTATGCTAAACTAAACCCATTACTGCAGTACCTGCTACAGGACTGCAAGAATGAAGAAATACCTCTATGCAGGATTCCCCTCTTGTGGATATAGCCCAAGGCTGAAATCAGTTGGCAAAACCAGCACAGAACAGTCTGCATATATAGAAATAACAGATTTGAAAATAATTTCATTAATAAATTATCTTGCACTACTCTGTGAAACCTTTTGCCTGACTGACTGACTCTGTACCCCACCAGGACATCACACAAGCGATAAACACCTGATGACACAAAGTGCCACCATGTGGATGAGGATCACAGTGGAGAGGTCCCAGAAACAGACAATTGGCCATATTTATGGCCTGCCTATATTGCGGCCCCTGGCAAAAGCCAGAGTGGGGCTTCAAATAACAAAAAATTACGTCCTAAAAAGGACGTAAGGAAAGACTAGTTTTTTTTTACCTTTTGCCTCCATACCGGCTATTTTTATAGCCATATTTGAAGGGTTATCTGCTCTTGTCTGTGAATATCCCATATAAGACTTCAACAAATTCAACCAGGCATTTTACTCACCACAAAGTGTCAGTTAGTAGCACTGACAAACATTATGCCTAAAAAGGTTCAGGTACTGCATACCCCCACAAAAATATGCCTTGAATTCCACTTCAAGGATCTATCTAGCCCGGCAGACTCTGGCAGTAGCATAGCTCTCAAGGTCAATGAAACACTGAAATCTCACCATCACAACAACAGAAATTAGGAAATAATGGGTGTGAACCCTTTCACCATGAGAAACTACAAAACCGTCATTTCTGGCTTGGTCCATTATCATCATGTAGGAGGCCCTTTGTTGAATGTCGTTCTCATCACTATCTGCCTGAAAGAAACTCAGTCTTTCGCTAGCTCTCCCGCCTCATGTACTTTCCTACTCAAGGAGTCACTTTTATCTTGTGCCCATCTTCCTGGTACTATGCCTTCTGCTATAATTTTTTTCCAATCCGTCGTGGCATTTGATATGACCAAAATATTTCAACTTCCGAGACATCATCATCATCAGTTCTCGTTATGCCTAGTGGCACATGAGGCTTCAGAGAGGACTTTTCATGCTTTCCTGTCCTGTGCAATCTTCAATGCAGTTTTCCATGTCAAAGATGCCGCACTCAGGTCACTTTCCATCGTTCGTCTCCATGTTATTTTTAGGCGCCCCTGTTTTCTCTTTCCCTCTGGTGTCCATGTGAGAGCTGTTTTGGCAGGTATATCAGAAGTCATTCTCATAACGTGGCCAAGCCATTTCCATCTTCTCTTGGTAATCATACTGTCTAAAGTTTCTTGGTTTGTGGTTTGAAGTAGTTTAGTGTTTGAGATTGTATCTGGCCAGAAAATTTTGATAATTCTACGTAGACATGTGTGGTGGAAGGTGGACAGCTTGTGTGCATCCTTTTTGGTCATTCTCCAGCATTCCGCTCCATAGAGAAGAACTGGCAAAATGATGCTCTTGTAGAGTCGGAGTTTTGTTCCTCTGCAGTAATTGTTGGATTTCCAGATTTGCCTCATCCTTCCAAAAGCAGCTCTAGCTTTGTTCAGATGTGACTGTATGTCTTCCTCTGTCCCTCCCAGTAGGGACACCACACTGCCAAGATACGTGAAATGTTCTAAATTTTCAAGTGATTGGTTACTTATGGTCACTGGTTGTTGGTTTGGACTGTTTGTCATGATCTTAGTTTTCTTTGTATTTATTCTCAGTCCCACCATTTCTGCTGTGCAGTTTAGTCTGTTACTTTTCTCTTGTATATGTTCATGTTTATGTGATAGGAGTGCTATATCATCTGCAAAATCAAGGTCCTCAAGCATGGTGAATGGAGTCCGTCGTATGCCTCTCAATGTCATGACTACTGTGTTCTTAAACAGGATGCTGTTTAATAGCCAATCTTCCTTGATGTTAAGACTTTTCATGATGTCAGTATTTCTCCTCTTTTTCGTCAAAGATATTCTGAGAATCTTAAATGCTTGGTCAAATTCCCCATGAATGACATTTTTATGACTTTTTTTAAAACAGTTACCTGTTTACAAAACGCACAGTTAACGCTACTAGCTGTTTGTGCATTTGGAAGGTCAGAATAAAAGTACATTAACTAAAAATAACATTTGTGGAGGAAAGGTGGCTGGTTTTTTTTTTTTTTATCGATCACCGGCTTTGAATTCCAGTGGAAGGTCCCGGTTAATCGTCCGCTTGGACTTTTGGCTTTCACCTGGACCTGATTTTTGCGTGTACAACCGTTTTTCATTTCCCTGCCTCATGGGCAGCTGTACTCCGACTTCGAAGGAAGACGTCAGGCCTATTTCTAGGTTGACTGTGGCCATTGTTTTGTGTGGGTCGAGACGTTGCCTGATTTGTGTGGTGTCCACTTTGTCTCCTCCGCAGGTATTGCCCTCGGAGTACCCCTTTGGGGCAGCCCCCTGTGGAACAGTTAACCCTCAAGGGAAGGCAGGGGCAGATCATGGGCATTCCCCGCCATCCAAGGAGGCTTCCATGCATGCAGAGCCGGCACATGGCGCTCTGGTTCTGGGCTCACCCAAGGAATCGTCACGTCCTGCACATGCCTGCTTAACCTCACAACCGTATCAGGCCTCCCGCTCGACAGGGGCTGCGCCCTCTGGAAGTCAGCGGGGAGCAGCCCGTGGGTTTTGGACTTTTGTGACCACACAGATAGGTACATTCTTTTTTTCTTCGCACGTTAGATTTCTTTGACGAGCCGTTAGCCCGACAGAATTTTACATCCTGCATCAGGCATATCGTTATCAGTTTTGTCCCAACACTCGGGCGAGTGGGGTCTTTGGGTGTGGACATTCGGTCTTTTTCAGTTCAATACAAATTTTGATGGTCAGATTTTGATCCGTATGATCTAGTTTTGTCGGACAATTAGGATGGTTGCTGTTGTGGTGTACCTCAGCGCGGTGTCGACGACACTGAGGGTTAACCGAGGATGTACATGAATGGCCAGCCTATGGATGGTTGCTGTTGTGGTGTACCTCAGCGCGGTGACGACGACACTGGGGGTTAACCGAGGATGTACAAGGATGGCCAGCCTATGGATGGTTGCTGTTGTGGTGTACCTCAGCGCGGTGACGACGACACTGAGGGTTAACAGAGGATGTGCAGTGAACAATGTTCTCTTTACTCCGCAGTCTTTTAACCAAGGGTTGTAATTTTGGCTGTACGTTTGGCAAACCTACTCATGTTCCTAATGAGTTTTGATAACATTTTTCACCCAAGCGTTTGGGGGCGGGCTGATGAGAGCCACAAGGACACATCACCTCTGGGGGCCGCCGAACTCCGAGATCCCCTGACAGCTCTGTTAATGCTCATTTGAGACATTATCCGTGGCGCACGACGAGGACGTGCTGTAGGGGTCTTGCGTGAGGTTCCGTACAACCAGGATAGTTAAGGACTGGCGCCCGAGTGACGTACGGAGTATCTCCTTATACACATCATGTTGGACTTAACTTCCCCTCACGCCTGTGACATAAATCACCGCGCCACCGGCGGCTGGTGTTCTTTGAACTAAACAGCATTTCTAAAAGTTAAGTTAATGTCAAATTTTCCCATAGGCCTCAATTATAGAGATCACAGCATGATTCACCCAATACCTATGTTTTTTTTTTTAGGCCCCCTTGGAATGTAATCTACTTAATTCATGTTTTACCCTGGTCATGTTTACTGTTTACTTCTGTAATTTATCTTTATATATTTCAGAAGGAAGAAAAGGGGAAGAGGAAGGAGTACACATACAAACATTTCTATTTTACAGAATTTTTTAGTAACCTCTGTAAAATTGTTTTTTTTTTAAAGGAATTTTTCCTGGAATTCCAAAGGGGCCTGACCCGTTATTTTAGTGTTCCAAGGGCTAAAAGGGTTAAAGGTAAAGAAAAGCCATGAAAGCACTCTTGACAATTAGGCCTGGCTGCTTCTCAATTCTTTCAGTACTAGCCGATAATTTCTTTAACCCCTCAACTCTGTCAGGAAGACATTTTTTTTTTCTGAGGTCTGGACATTAATTTTGAGCTGAATTTTTGTTACTGTAACATGACAAAGCATGACAAATACTTCCTGAAGAAAAGGTACTGAGTGTATAGTGACAAATAATATATCAAATTAAAGAGAAATAAATATAGAACACATCCAAAATATTTAAATATCAATATTACAAGAAGAAAATGTTAAAATGTCACAACATTCAAGGATGTTAACACACTTGAAGATTTTTTAAACTTGAAGTTTTGTACTTACCTTTTTTTTTTTTTTTTTCATCAGCAACATTAATATCCCTTTCCAAGAATTAACATGCCTTTTTCTTTTCAATTGTTAGTCTTTATTTGAAACAATTAATCTAAATACTTTTGATTTTATGACAATTTTTTCTATGACATGTCAAGTTTTACAACCAAATTCTGGAACAGGGATAATCATATTGAAATATTTTGTTCAACTTCATCTTTACATGTATTATTGGCAATAGGTTTGGCTCTTGCATTATTAAACATAATATCAAGACTACTGTCACTATCCGGCTCAGATTCATCTTCAACAGAAGCAGTATGGACAGTTCTAGTCCCCTTTTCCTTATCACTTAGTCTGGAAAATCACACACAAATTGTATGACGCTGAATCAAATAAAAACAAATTGAAAATTAAACATATTGGCTCACCAAGCTTGCAAAACAATAATACTTCCTTTTGCTAATTCTAATTTTCAAAACATGTTCATACAAATTAATTTTCCTAGCAAATAAAATAATACTGGAGTGTCTGTGCATGTTGATACCTAAGTCTGTCAAATCTACACTAATTTGATCTAACAACCCTTTCACGGACCCGTGACTCTAAAAATTGCAATTATCATGATCCATCCAAATAATGTACTCTAACCACTTTCAAGTGCTATAAATAAAACATTACCTCATTAGGGAAATAAAGGCCTCTTCTGTGTGTAATTTGTTTCCATAGCAAGGCAACAAGGCCAAATCTCAAATCTTCTGGATGTGACAGGTTAATATGTTGATCAGTCACTTATATAGAGCTTTCAAATTTTATGTAGTCTAATGTAGTTCTTCTATCTTATCTACTTCTCTCCCTAGTTAAATTGTCTAAACAATACATTGTCTGTTCTTTGTCCCAGGATATGCAGGTTTCTAAGTACTACAAATAGAAGGCGGACCTCACTAGGGAGACAATGCCACTCTAGGTGTGACAATTTGCAGATGGACATAATCCTCCGGAATGAAGCAACACGACCAAGTCTTAAATTCTTCAATAAGGAATACTTTAATCACAGATGCATACAGCAATAATCTGGAAACAATAAACATTTATTTCTTTTACTTCTTCAGCATTCCGGGCCCTTAAAGTTCTAAAATTTATTTAGGTCAGAAAAAATTAAATTGTCCAAACCCAAGACTTCTTCATCTCTGCCCATGATATGCCGGTGTGAAGGGCAATTCAAATTACTTATTCTCTAGGAATTGGACTTATTATGGACTCTTGGCATTTATCCTGACAAGCTGTGAACTGACAGCTTTAATTCAATTGTTACTTGTAATCCCATCCAGCAATCATCTGGAAACAAAAAATATTTATTTCTTCTACTTCTTCAGCATTCCGGGCCCTTAAAGTTCTAAAATTCATTTAGGTCAGAAAAAATAAATTTTTCAAACCCAAACACAATGCTTATCATTCAATATTTTCTTTCTTATTCTCAAGGAATTCAGCTTATTATTACTCTTAGGCAAATTTACATCCAGTAGTTTGCCATTGCTTTCTGGGGAGACTCAGCCAGGCCATGATACTTGAGGGTTTCAACGCAAGGAACTGGCTGTTTCCCGCTCTACCGAACCCAGCACCCCTGGCATTTGGGCGTGAGCATGGGCAATGACAACAGCTCACAGAGCCTGCACTACAAATCTGATTTACTTGTATGCAAAGTGACAAAAGGGACCTTGCCGCAATCAGGCAGAACGAACATCTTGATACCCAGTCCTTAAAAACCCAAGTGAAGTCTGTTACAATGGTTTGGACCCTATGCAGATGGAGAAAATCGGCAGCCATGGCATGACAGTGGGAGAAACAGACAGGTCACCAGTGCGAACAGGCAGGTCACCAGTGGGAACAGACAGGTCACCAGTGTGAACAGACAGGTCAGCAGTGTGAACAAAGTTAGAAAGAAAACTGCTGATAGAGACATCTGGCAGATCTCTCTGGCAACAGACAGGTACACCCCAAAGTAGAAGAGGAGCGACAAGTAAAGTAGTGTGAACAGTTTGCCATTGCTTTCTTGTGTGAACAGACAGGTACCACAGTTGAGAACAAAGCAAGGTCACCATGTGAACAGACAGGGATCGACCAGCACCCTGGCATTACAAAGCATTTGCATTGACTTAGCCACAGAGCCGACTACAAATCTGATTTACTTGTATGCAAACCTGGTTCCTTGCCTGTCAGGCAGAAGGAACGTAACTCTGAAGGAAAGAACTGAACCTGTCTACAATGGTCAGGCCCTTCAGATGGGAACATGTTTCTAGGATGACAGTGAAGAGGCACAGACAGGTCACCAGTGTAAATCCTCTTCCTTGTGCACCACTACATCTGGTTCAGCGCCTCCTGTCCCCCATTCACTATGTAACATTTAACAGGTTAAATTATAATACAAATTCAGTGGACATATCAGTTAAATGTTTATCTGTGTGGGTTCCAGGGCCCCTTTGTGGGGAAATGAGAACTGACCCATTGTCTACCCAAAAGCATGTTGTAAGAGTCAATTAATTGTGAGCTTCTTTCAAAGTCAGAGTGCATCTGCCTGAGGGGCAAGGAACCAACAGTCTGCATACAAATAAGCCAGATCTGTAAACAGATGTGCGCATGTAGCACTCAGGTTCTGGAACAAGACTAACGTGCAGAGGTAAACAAATAGCCAGAACATTCCACTGGAGTTTACAGCCAGTGAATTCAAAGAAGAAGAAGACGTTCAATGTTAATAGGAGTTGTGGGCAACTGATAATTTATAATCATCTATTTGTTGAGGAAATCACATTTTTTACTAAATAAGTTAAAGAAAGTAATTTTATTGCTGACTGATTTTAATTAGAGGTTCAATATTATCACAACATCAGAAAAGCAATTTACTAAGGTAAATCTTGATAACTTGTGATTAGTTGGTCCCAACTTGGTTTGAAATGATGATGATGATATTCTTCTTCGCGTTCACCAGCTGTAAACTCTGGCAGAAAGTTTTGGTTGTTCATCCATTTCAGGACTGCAGTCCTGTTCCAGAACCTGAGTGTCTGACTGACTGACTTTCTACCCCACTAGGACATCACACAAGCGATAAACACCTGATGACACAAAGTGCCACCATGTGGATGAGGATCGCTGGGAAGAGGTCCCAGAAACCGCGTTTAGACAATTAGCCATATTTATAGCCTGCCTATATTGCGGCCCCTGGAAAAAGCCAGGGTGGGGCTTCAATTAACAAAAAATTTTGTCCTAAAAAGGACGAAACTAAAAGGGGCATCCATTTTAAAGGTCTGACGCATTTGTTTGCAGACTGTTGGTTGGTTCCTTGCTTCTCAGGCAGATGCACTTCGACTTTGAAGGAAGCTCCCAATTAGTCAATTTTTAAAACATGCTTTTGGGTAGGCAGTGGGTCTATTCTTGTTTTTCCTATAACAGGGCCCCGGAACCCACACGGGGAGATGATGATGATGGAAGAGAGCGCAGAAAGATCATTAAAACAGTACATCTGGCAATGATCCATGGGCCACTTGCTAGGTCTCTGTGGGCCGAATTTACCTTAAGGACTGCCAGTTGAATAACCCTGTCCTAAAAGAAGAGCTGATACATTGTGATGCAGTTTACAGCTAGACTGTGACATATGCGCCTTTCAGCTCAACACATCTGATTTCAGCTAGTCCTTAGCCTTCTGATGAAGTTCTGGGAAGTAAATGTGGCTGGTTATTCGCCGAAATGATCACACACTGAATGACGATAGATCTGTAGCATCAAATGTACTTGATAACTTCAAGATGTAAAATAGAATCATTTACTTTTTAATTTTAAACTTAATTGTTCCTTGATATTTTGATTCCACAATTTTACCTTATGTTGGACATGTTAGTACTATGGACTTCCATTTTCCTAGTAAAGTATTCATTCTTTCAAAAAAAAAAAACAACCTCACTCTTTTAGCAACAAAACACCACCACCCCCCTCCCAAAATGTTTTTAAAATCAAGAATTACTTTAGACCGTGATCGCCAGAGAGCAGAATCTTAACCATTCATTTAACCCTAGCTATTATTGTTTTATTGTTTATGTCTGACCAAAACATTTTCAAATTGGCCCTTTGCTTTCCAATCATGATCTAAAAATAACATTTTGAGAAAAAATATGTGTATCAAATAGTATCATCAGCTGATCGATCCGTTTGTCTCTTCAGTGCTGCAACCTGAATGTTTACCACCCATAGATAACACAAAATCTGGCTCTTTTTTCAATACAGGAAGGTAGCTGGAAAGCCGCCGATCGGCTTAGTGGGAGTTCTCTCCCTTGGCTGCACTGCAAATACGGAGCGGAAAAGTCACGAATAAAAAAAGACAGTGAAAAAAAAGACATACTTACCTATCATCATACGGTTGCGTGTACGGTTGTGTAGTCATCATACGGTTGCGTTGGGTGTAGGGTTAGGGTTAGGGATAGGGTTATGGTTAGCGGCGTTAGGGGTTGGGTTAGGAGTAGGATTAGGGGTAGGTTTTGGGGTAGGGTTAGATGTGACGCAAATTTATCGGTCAGTGAGTCATACAGATCTGCAGGAGTCACATCCGTGGCAACTAATACCACGTTTATATCAGGATATATTTACTTGAAAAAAAAACCCAGATTCCCCTAAGCGTCAAATAAACACCCAGATCTGGGGGAAACACCCAAGCACTGGCAGCCCTGTTGTCGACCTCACTGTCTTTTTTTATTCGTGACTTCTCCGCTCCGTGTTTGCAATGCAGCCAAGGGAGAGAACTCCCACTAAGCCGATCGGCGGCTTTCCAGCTACCGGCCTGTATTGAAAGAAGAGCCCACAATCTTAACCCCGTTACGTGTTCAACTTCAGCTCCTAAAGAAAGGCATCAATAACGGTTATACCAGCCCAATTTAACCCGAAGTTCTGTGACGTAAAGACTACTGCTGTGTAACTACTATAACAATGTGTTAGCTTTTATACTGCAAGCCTCATTTAGTAACTGCAAATTGTTCTTTTCTTTCACTAATACTTAAATATGAAGTCTATGAATTACTATAATATTTTTTAAGGTATATATATATATATATATATATATATATATATATATATATATATATATATATATATATATATAAAGAAATAATAAATATTGAAATAACTAGTATCAGTATCTTAATCTAGACAAGCAATATAACTTGCTTTACCTCCAGGAGCATACTCCATGACTATTGATAATCTCAATGTTGTTTTGTTTACAAACGCCTCGGAATAACCAATAATATTTGAGTGCCGGCATCTGGCTAATATAGTGACCTCTGTCAGTGCCTGTTCAATGTCCTTTTCTCCTAAACCTGTCAGATTTATTTCTTTCAGAACTTTTTGGTCTCTAGTCGAGTTATGAGTGTCCACAAGCCAAACTTTGCCGTAACTTCCAGTGCCAAGAAGAACAACTTTATCGTATCGCGCCATCTTTACTTTGTTCTCCACAGGAAGTACAAGAAAATTATAAATGTTTGCAGGCTTTTAGACGTCAACGACACAATACACTTTTCTATTCTTCGTCATTCCGAGCCCTTGATAGTTATTTTGAGGCCCGACAGTTGCCTCAAGCATCATATGAAGATCAATACTGAAAAGACAGAAGTCATGAGCATAAGTAGAGAGCAACAGACCATCGACATAAAGATTCTAGATCACAGCCTAAAACAAGTGCAAGAATTTAAATACTTGGGAAGTATCTTTACATTCAATGGTAAAATAGAGAGATGGAAGCAAGAATCCAACAAGCCAACAATGTCGCATACCAGCTTGCCCCAATTTTAAAACACCCTGCTGTCCCAGCTGAGATAAAAAGACAAATTATAAATACAATCTTTATACCAACATTAGTTATCAATGTCAGACTGGACATTAACAAAAGAACACGAGAGAAGACTAACCACCTGTGAAATGAGATGTTTGAGAATGGCTGCGAATAAAACCAGAAGAGATCGAGTGAGAAACGATGTGATTACAAGAACTATTGGAACCATACCCATCGTTAAATTTATTGAGAAGCAAAGAATGAAATGGTTTGGTCACCTAATGAGAATGGAACCAACGATGCCAGCATCAAGAGCATACAACATGAAAATCGAAACACCAAGAGGCAGGGGAAGACCAAGAAGAATATGGATTGAAGGAGTCACGGACAACTTGAGACTTCATAACGTCACGGCATATGAAGTGACTGAGCGCGCCCTGGCTCGGTTGCCGATCATCTGATAGACTGCGACGCCTAGCGGCACAAGCAGATTTTGACAAAAGAAGAAAAGAAGATAGTTATTTGTGCTCACTATTTGCTTTAAACGGTAGGAACAACACCATGTAGCAAATAACAGAAGACCAAATGGTTTGGTCATCTAGTTCTTCTTCTTGTGTTCGCTTTCTGATTTACACTGGCAGACAGGTTTTTGTGATAAAATTGACTGTTTTTATGAGTTCCTTTTTAGTCCCTTACAACTTTGCGTGCAGTGGCGACTCACTGGGCCAGTATTTCCTTCCTAATGGGCTGAACAAGGGACAGTCTTGCAGGACATGTTCTTTGGTTTGCACACACAGCCCACAAGGGCACACAGGTGAACTACTTAGACGAAGCCTGTGTATTTGCTTCTTAAGTTTGTTATATCTTGTCCTGAGGCGTATGCTAATGACCTGTCCATGCCGATCAAGTCACGGGTAGTGATCTCTGACCAGACTCTGTTCACTTCTAATAGCCTGGATGGCCCTTTTCTTGTTATAAAATGTTACTGAATTCTCTTCTTGTTTACACTCTGCCCCTTTCTTAGCAAGTTTATCTGCGGTTTTGTTTCCTAGTATACCACTGTGGGATGGCACCCACTGGAATACAGTACACTTTTGAGCAGCCACCTTGCCAAGTTCAGATCTCAAGTGAGAGAGTTTGCCTCTCTTGAAGGCTTGAAGCACCGATAGCGCATCTGTGAATATGACCACTTGGTGGCAGTCAGAACTGGTGTTGTGTAACATTTCGACAGCCTGCTCTAGTGCTACGACCTCTGCTGTGTAGTTGGAACAGAATTTACCAGTGGGTATACACTTTGTGTGGCGGTGGTTGCCTGGGTATGTAATAAAGACACCAACACCCCCATTTTTAACCGCACTGGTTGCTAATCCATCCGTGTAAACATGTCTACACGACTGATTGGGATAGTTTTTCTGAATCAGGTCATCTAGTAAGAATAGCGATAAACAACTGCCAACGCAGGGGCTACACATGAACAAATCTAAAGTGAAAGCAAGAGGCCGCCCGAGCAGAAGATGGATTAGGGTCACTAAATAGCTTCTATATCGACACGAATTGGCAGTAGTCATAGCTACACATCAAGCAATGGATCGCAAACTGTTTCTCCACACGACGCTTAATTGCCATTAAGTGAAAATTGATGATGATGATGACAATAACTTCACTACCTTTGATTAATCCCTTCAGTACTAGGCAAGTACGAAATCCCCCCCCCCCCTTTCCACCCCCATAACTAAGCGTAACTAATATCAAGAGGCCTGGCTGACTGACTGACTGACTGACTGACTGGCTGACTGACTGACTGACTGACTGACTGACTGACTGACTGACTGACTGACTGACTGACTGACTGACTGACTGACTGACTGACTGACTAACTAAACTAACTAACAAACTACTAACTAACCAAACTGTGGTCTTTTTCTTGAACTTGAGTTTTGCGTGCACATTCATTTTACAAATCTGGTTTATTTATACGTTTATTTATATTTGTTCCTTGCCTTTTAGGCAAATGCAGGAAACACTCATAATTAGTCGTCTCCTACGTCATGCTTGCTATATTGCAGTGGATCTGTTTGTTTTCCAAAATGGAGCTCCCGCCGGAACCCAAACGGGAAAGATTCACATTCGAATAATGGTGTTTTCTTATTTAATCACTGAGCATAAAATGATCAAGTGGCGCCACTCCCAAACTCACAAGAGCACGGTGTTAATGTGATGTTGATGACTGAATAAAAGGGATGGTTAAAATACCATTTGTGGCAAAATATTCATCTTCTCTTCAGTCGAATTTCTCCAATGCCCGCATTGTCAGACTGTACCGCCTTGGCATGTCAAACACTGTTAAAGGTAAGACTGGAAGCTTTCTAGCAGTATGATTGTGTGAGAGTTTTGGTTGAGGTCATGTTTCAGACAAGTCTTCGCCGGAGTTAGAGGTCCTTTCAACGCTGAACCGGGGAGGCACCAGGTAACCTGAGAAATATTAACGATGTTGGAGCTACAATGTTGAATGTGACAGTGACAGACGGTGACAAATTCTGTTTGACAGTTGTCATTGACGCTTCTCTCTCTCTCTCTCTCTCTCTCTCTCTCTCTCTCTCTCTCTCTCTCTCTCTCTCTCTCACTCTCTCTCTCTCTCTCTCTCTCTCATAATACACACATACATACATACATATATATACATCCGTACACACATACATACACATCCACATAAAAACCAGCGGCGCACACACACAAACACAATTAAATGCCGACTGATGTGGGCGATTATGTTTACGCGTGTTTTAAAGTCCTTCAGTACCAAACAACTCGCTGTGCGTTCGCGGATAACTCTTTACATAATGCCGCGACCCTTTAAGATCAGTCCTTTATGCAGTGGCGACCCACAAACATTCAATTATTTTCGTTACTATTTCATAACTTCAGTGAAGATGATGTTTTCTGATGGTCTTAGACGACCCCTGTGAAAGGGTCGTTCCACCCAAAAAGGGTCTCGACCCGCAGGTTTAGAACCGCTGCTTTTACGTGATATACTGTTGGTACATCATATTTCATCATCATGTAGCAGGTCCTTTGCAGAACGTCGCTCTCATCACAGTCTGCCTGCAAGAAAGTCGGTCTCTCGCCAGTTCTCCCGACTCATGCACTTTCACACTCAAGAAGTCACTTATATCCTGTGACAATCTTCGTGTCGGTCGGCCTCTGCCCCTCCTTCCTGTTACCATGCCTTCTGCTATAATTTTTTCCAATCCGTCGTGGCGCTTGATATGACCAAAGTATTTCAGCTTTCGAGAAAGGATGCTGTTTTTTAGTCAATCTTCCTTGATGTTCAGATCTTTTAAGATGTCAATATTTATCATCTTCTTTGTCCAAGATATTCTGAGGATCTTTCCACAGCATTTCAGCTCAAAAGCCCTATTCTTTTTCTTAAGGACTGAGAGCAAGTCCACGACTCACATCCGTATGTAGCCACAGGGACTCACATCCGTATGTAGCCACAGGGAAGATGCATGCTCTCAAAATTCTAATTTTCATCTCCTTGCTGGTGCTTAACCATAGACTTTTAAGGTTGTTCAATCTTTGCATTGCTATGTTAGTATATACTTATTCTTCATTCAGCTAGCTCGTTAACTCATTCTATCCCAATGCTCGCTCATTTTTGTCCGGTTGTGTTATTCGTTATCGTTCATCCGAGTGACGTAAATGCGTTGTGCCTGTTTGCAGCATAGTTGCGATATTTGTGCCTTACGGCTTCTCTGCACCCCCTCATCCTTTTTCCAATCGCTACATCTTTCCAGATATTACAACAATTTCTATTTTTCAGAATAAGATAACATATATTTATGTAGGTACGTGAGAAGAGGAAAACTGGGATACGTCGTGAAAACCGGTAAAGTGTGTACAGAGAGGGACAGATAACAATTAAGAAAGATAGTAGTTTGGTGTAGTGACACAGAAAAGGATCTGTATGAGAATTAAATGTCCTACTATACAGACATTGTGGAGACGTTGTTGCGTCAAGAATTGACATCTTAGCACTCAGGGCATTCCCGTGCGTGCTCAGTCCTCATCATCAGCAGCCAGCGCAGAGTTCCAATACTGATGGTACCGGTCACAATCTGGTTATTTGTCCATCTTGCCTTTCCTCTAAGTGTAGTCAGCCGGCCAGACCCTCTGGTTGCACCCAGGTGCCTAATTCTCTGCAGGCCATAAGAATCTTGTTTCTCTACTAATTATGTTGCTTGTTCCCCAGGGGCAGTCATTCTGGACATACATGGTAATCCTCTTTAGCAAGGTCTGCTTTGAATCTTGTACAGTTTCGGTCAAACAAATGACTGTATGCTTGAGATCTTCGCGGGTACCTCGAAGTTTGTCTTGAAGGATTGCTCCTGTGGGCCGGATTTAATCTCTGTGATTGGGAAAGTGTGTGCAATCCTGTAAGACATGCTCTAGAGTTTGTTTAATGAACCGCAGCAAGATGCGACAGCGGTGGCAAGGTGAAGTTGTACTCTAAGTCAGTGTTTCCCAAACTGTTCTTAGTCGCGGCGCCTTTTTTTCAATTTAAGTTTTTCTACGGTGCCCTAACCTTAGTAAAAGTATAACTATTCGTATGTAAGAGATAAAATAAAATAACACTCGCGTGTCATCGAATATTTCGCGGCGTCCC